GGATTCGCTCGTGATAGTCGTTCATTGGTGATATATTGATATATTCCCGCAGCCTGGGGGAGCACGAGCAGCACCTTAGAGTGGGTTTTTCAAACTCTGAGGGATAGTCAGTTATATGTTATGTTCTCGATGTGTGAGTTCTGGTTGAGTTCAGTTGCATTTCTGGGTCATGTTGTATGAGCAGAGGGTATTTAGGTGGACCCGAAGGAGATTATGAAGAAGTTTTTAATGTTGGATGCAAGATTCATCCGCATTCCGAAGTAAGCATCCTAGGAATTTGTTGTGAGGATTGTTGGACGACAAATTAAGTGAGGCAAAGTATAGGAAAATCAAGTGAGACCATCTGGTGCTGACAAGCAGTGGATAAAAGTTTTTTGAGTTAATAAAAATAATAGTTAAAAGAAGTTTTCATGGAAATGTAAGCAAAATCCCACCTGTCTCTTCGCATGCTTTTGAAGACAGTTCGGGCTTGTTCCACCATTCCTGAGATTGCAAATGCATCTAGCAAGATGTTGTAAGATTTCTGTGTTGGCCTGAAAAAAAGAGGTGCGCTCATATAACCCTTGTAATTAAAGGATAAGAGAACACAGTCACTGGCTTCAAAGCATAGCAAGATAACGTCATCTGGGATGGAGACTGAGAACATATATGTCTCTGAACTTGAGTTACTCTAGCTAAAAAAGTAAAAACCTGGCTTAAACACATCTCTACTACAGATTTTGGTGCTTTCTAGCGGGATCTAGCATCAGAAAATATCTTTGCAGAGAATAAAACCAATTCCATTGAAACAAGAAACCATAATTTAGATGATTATGTTTTCGTCAACCACAAATGTCAATAAGAAAGTTAATTGGTAATCTTCTTTCAGAAAAGTGCATCTTCCACTCTGGAGATAGAATGTGTCTCATCTTTCAATGTGCAATGATAATCAATTTAATTTCTTTCCAATTATTAGGACAAGGAAAACGTATAAGGTATGTTAAACATGCTTTCACTAGTTGATGAAATGGCACATTTTAAAGTAACTGATTATAGGGGGGTATCTTATGTAGAAAATCATCTTTTCATGTGTCTTCTTTTTGGAATACCTCTTGTATACACGAGCTTTCCCAATCATTATATCATATCATTTCATATCATCATACTATACTATCAGCATGAAGAATTTTAGGTAAAGTTATTTTACTAAAATATCCTTCAAAAACTGAATGACCAAATTAGCCTCTACCTAAAATTAAAATCATCTCCCATTAAATGATATTTGTACTTAATGCGTTGGTAAAGAAGTTCACAATATTAATGAAAGAAATAATCCGAATAATGGGTGTTGCCGTATGTTCCAGCCGTTATTGACGTTATGGAGGATTAATTAACACAATTTTTTTCTGATATTTTCACACTACCTTTCTATTCTTTCCTTCTTCCAATATTCAATTTCCTCTCCTCCTTTAAATCCTTTTTTACATAATGTTTCAGTTTTAACACTTGTATATTTTTTCTGTTATAATTTTATATATTCATCACTTAATTATGGAATTTAAAAGGATTCTTCATCATTAAATTTTAAAAATCACTATATAAATGGACACACCATATGCATTCACCATTATTCTTTCAGCATGATCTTTAAAGCTTTTTTTTCTTTTCATTTTTGCTTCTTGCTTCTTACTTATCATTTAATGTTTACTAATTTATACTCCCTCTATGAATTAACTATCCAACCATGTGGACCATAGAGAAAACTTTGTCAATGAACTCCAATAAATTGGCCGAAGCATAAAGAAAGCGTGAAAGGTTTGAAGAAAAAGCCAAGGTTTTAAGGCTACAGAAGGAACATGCAAGATAGAAAAATGACATGCCAAATTTAGCATTTTTATCTAAAATAATCAAAATATTCCCATACGGGACACACATGTCCAGAAACTAGTTATACTAAAAGTAGGAAGCTCCAAAGTGCAAAGTCGAATTACCAAAATGTCCATAGAAAATTGAATGACCATTTTATCCTTCATCTACTCTTATAATAGACAAAATTAGCCTTGAAATGTTATGTACTTTAACATCTGTTAGAAAACGAAGTTATTCCTTCATAAATGGGTACATTAACCAAGCTTCTTTTTGTGAATTCCAAAACTGAAGGATTTGAAGCTATGTTGCTCGGACTCTCCGAAAATGTCGCAGGGTGCGTGTCGAATCCTTCAAAAGTAGTGTATTTTTGGAGGATCCGACACGGGTGCGGCGGCATTTTGGAGAGTCCGCGCAACATAGATTTGAAGAGTTGTAATTGATAAAATAATGAAAACTAAATGATTCCTTCTCAAATGGGTACGTTAGCCAAGCTTCTTGTACCAAAAACAGTTAACCAATCTTCTCTTTTTCTAAACTTAAACTGAAAAATTTGAAGAGCTGCCATTGACAAAATAATATACTTAGCAGATCCATCTTCCATTAACCCTATTCATTCTAATTGGATTACTCTCTATAATGGATTGTGGTACAAATTGCCAAGATGTCGTTATTCATGTCTATATTGATAGGAACTATAGGATTCATCTATATGCTTGTGATATACTGATATTCTTCGTTTTTGGAGATTTTATTCTATACAACAAGTTGGTTGGTCCATAAAGACTGAATAACTGTGAGTATATCCTAGTAATTTTTATTAGTAACATCTAATTAATTAGTCTGTCTTTGAATGTTTGATATATCATTCCCTTTTAGAGGAGTACGATATATGTCTTTATGTGCTCAGTGCTCTAGCTGCTCTTTTCTGGAGCACCTCTAGCCTCTAAGTAACTAGATAAGTACACATGTTGGCGCTTGGCAAAGGTTCATCCCATTGTTTAATCTACAAAAATTGTTATGTGTTTCAGTTAATATGTTTCTTTAATTTATTTTTTATTACCCTTACTATATTTACTTTATAAACTGTCTCCTACTTATATCCAATAAATCATGGCGCGATTTCTTTAACTTTTCTAACTCAAACATAACTTTTTGATAATGTTTATGTAATATTTTAAAAGTTTTGTATTCATTAATATTGGGGTACAGCGCAACGCGCGTGCTCAGAAACTAGTATTGATATAAGTATTTACCTTAGCCGGAAAAAAAAGATAATAAATGAATCGAAGGTGCAAAGTGTTAACTGCTCGCAATACTGTCTTCCCTCACCCAACAAGAGAAAGAAGGAAGCTGTGGGAAAGGAAAACAATGTTAAAAAGCTTGGATAACCAGTGAAGTAAAGAACTAAATACCTGACACCAGCATCAAGCATTTCCTCAAAAACAGCGAGTGCCTCCTCTTCTCTTCTAGCCTTTCCATATGCACTAATGAGCAGGGCGTAGCTAACGACATCAGGTCGAAGACCAGCTCTTTGCATCTAAAATTAGGCATTTGCTTCAAATTACTAATATGTGCAAATGTATGAAGCCATTCCATGCGCCCATGATTTTCAAAAGCAAATACGAGACAATAACTAAAATAGACAAATAATACTACAAATAATCCTGCAAATAAAGTCTCGAAAACTTAGAAGAAATTAGCAAGAACATAAGTTTTTTAAAAGACCAGTAATATCTCAAAGTAAAATGGTGTAATACTACTGCATCAGGGAGTAATACAGAGAAATATGCTAACAGCTAAAGCGAACAAACCTATAATAGCATAAATACATTTTCTGATAGGAAGAGATGTACAAGCACTTGAGTAGTTGTTCAGCATACTTAATGACCATTCTCAGAACAAATCAGAACCTAATAAATAATTCGCAAGTACCTGATCATAAATGTTCGCGACCTCCTTGTAGTTCGTCTCAAACGACATCAAACTGTTGTAAGTAACCGTATTTTGTGGAATTCCTCGCTCGGTCATCAAAGAAAACAGCTGACGAGCTTTCTCATACTTTCCAGACTTCTTATACATATAGATCATCATGTGGAACATTTTCTGGTCTGGCTTCAGCGGAGGTGCATCCATATCCATAAGAGCTTCAAAGACTTCTTGAGCTTCATTAAATTTGTCACCCTGTATTAACCCCTTCATTAGCCAGGAACTTTATATAAATGAATAAAGGAACTAGCGGATCAAATTTTTTCCTTCGATTTTTGAGTTAAGCTAAACATCTTTTATCCCACATAAGCACTGCATGTTGAACTACTGCTTTCTTATATATCGTTATCTGCTATTATTACCAGTGAATAATCCATTGACATTCGCAGATAGCCAGATATGGTTCCCCTAGAAATAGAATGCTTTAGAACCACAACAAATCGTAGATTGAGAGCAGAATAAGATTATAAAGTTATCAAAGAAACGGCATTCGACTACTATATTTTTTCAATCTTCTTGATTTTTTATTGCTAGTTAAGCATAAGGGTGCTCAGGTTCAGTTTGGTCAATTTTTTTTCCAGTATTCTACTACCAAACCAACACCAGCAGCTTTCTAAAACAAAGTAAAAGTTTCAGAAACAATTACTTTTGGTTTTCAAGGCACCATTTCAGTTTGACTTGGTGTGGTGGTTTTGCAACTATCTTTTCTCTCCCCAATTAATTACAGTTAGAAAAATGTGTTAAACTTTAAACTACATATGCTTCATGTTAACACAATCAAAATCTAAACTTAAAAATCTAAACTGGAAGATCATTTCGAGATCTTCGAACATATTCGAGGGTTCAATGTTACTATTGTAACTTCGGCCAACACACAAGATGAGACTTTACCACCGTGGAGCGGCTTTTTGCAAAAAGATGAGGGGGAAACTCAGTAAGATGTCGGAGAAGCGAAATATACGAGATCACAAACGTAGATTGCTCGCGGCTAAATATGAATTGAGACGAAAGCTTTATAAAGCCCTTTGTAAAGATCCCGATCTTACTAGTGATATGCGGGACAAACATCGTTCTAAGTTGTCCAAGTTGCCAAGAAAGAGTTCCTTTGCACGAGTAAGAAACCGATGTATTTACACGGGTCGCCCTCGTTCCGTATATGATACAAATTTCTCGTATCGTTTTTCGTGGATTAGCATCTCGAGATCCTTTGATGGGCATAAAGAAATCGTCTTGGTAGCAACCACCAAACCAAGAGAACAAGGGTTAGCTCCGCAGCAGGTCTACAAGCAAGGTAAGTAGGTCCATTACCAGCCGGCTCCGGACCGAAAAGACCTAACGGACTAATCCCTTATCTAGGATCGTAGATGCTAACGGGGCGGGAATCGAAGTGGGGGACCCCTCTACCGCCTGTGTCTATCTCCTGTCAAGTATGCTCCCCAGACATAGACTACGTACAGGGTAGTACTCTTGGAAAGATAGAATATCACCGCGTGAACATAACATTACATTAAGTTACGAATGTAACTCCCGAAGGATCGACCACTATTCTAAATATAGTAAGGCGGAGAACTGTTGTTCAGTGGAGCGCCGGAGTGCAGAGGTTGTTCCCATCATTGANCTTGTACACTTCATCAATCTTTTTCGGTAAACACTCTTTAAAAAGAGTTCTTGTATGATACTTTTCAATTCCCTAAAATTAAGAATACCATCAATTATAAACTTCGTTTAATCACTATTCTTTACTTTTTTTGGAAAATCAATTTCCAGTACTACAAGCAACAAGAGTCAAATACTAAGCAACAGATTTAGAATGACTAAAATCTTCAGATATGTTCAGAAGAAGAGACTTATTTTAAAGCAGAAGTCAGAGGAAGTAAACGACAGATTTCACAAAGATGTTCTATAATATGACCTTTTATTCCTCTTTTCTCTAATTAGTATAGTCATTGTTAACACCACTAATGCAACATTTGCATCTCAAAGCATTTCTTTGAACCACTAAATCAATTCCCCCCGATAGTCTATTTGGCATTAAAAAAGTGTCTGAATCAAAACCTTTACTGTCTAAAGATTCATACAGAAATATCATTAATGATCTTTTTGTATAAAAAAAATGATTTAGGAATATCACTAACGGTCTTGACCTGGAGCTTCAGCAAAATGCACGGATCTTAAGTCAGAATCGTTACCAAGCAGCATACTCATCACAAATCTTAAGTCAGAATCATTACCATTTTATTTTTCTTCTCATTCTATCACATAATGGCCAAGGAACTTACGTAGTGGACCCTTCGCTAGTAAACAAAAAGATGATTGCAGCAATTGTTAGTATTAATTTAATTCGGTTATAATATTTTATGTGCTATTAAAATGATGTATATCAATAGGATATGGTAAATAAGTGTATAAGTCATATAATAAGTAATGTGGGGTCTAATGAGAGGCCTAAGTCTAAGTCAAGTTCTAAAACTACATAATAGGCTAAAATTCCTAATGAGTTCGCACAAGTCCAAACTTTGAACGAGAATATCTACGTATATATATGGTGTTATGTGATGAACAACC